TCGTGATTCTGGTATTATTTCTTCTAGAGATATCCTTTGGGACCTTTTCATGTATAATACCTTCTTTGCACATTTTTTCCACGGTGTTTCTGCTTAGACTGAAAGTTCAATTATCAGATTAGCACTTATATACTCATGAAAAGCTTGTTTTAATAAATTTATGTTACCTTCCACCACAAAATTCTTAGTTTTTGTTTTTAATTTTCCATGTGTTCTGCCTTTTGCTCCCTCTTAAAAAAAAGGGGTGCTGGCACTGTATTAAGTTAAAACCATTTGAGTGCTTGCTCTGTAGTAGGTAAAGAAGAGAGCCATATTCCTGGGAAGGGGCATGACCAGATATTAAGATCTGTTTTGAAGCAATGGAACAAAGAAGCAGGATATGAAAAACAGTTAATGTTCCCAGTTGATTGTGTGATGTGTCTGTGGAATAATCAAACTGAATTCCTAAATACAGGTATAATGTGCAGTTAGAAATACAAGACTAGGGCTAGATTAGGAATCACCACTTCTGAACATATAAGGACAGGTAGTAGGAATGAATGATGTTTTTCTATTTTGGTATTTTTCACACAAGTGTTAAGCTCTAAGCCATTCTGAGAGCCAACGCCTTATAAAGTGCAGTCTCAGGATTAGCAGTATTACCATCACCCAAGAACTTATTAGAAATGCAAATTATTGGATGGGACCCAGCAGTCTGTGTTTGAACAATCCCTCCAGGTAATCTAATACATACTGAAGTTTGAGAACCACTGTGAGAAGTCAAAAACCTGAATGTCAAAATAATCCTTGAATGAATTCATAAAATATCTGGGATTTTCTTGAGTATAGACAAACAATAGAAGAGATCATGAGTTACTAACTGTCATAGCTGGGTGGATGAGTACGTGGAGTTTTTTGTATCATTTTCCCTACTTTTTATACAGAGAATTTCAAACATGGAGTGAAAAAACACTTGAAAAGTTTCTTAAATCACTTATAGTGTATAGTATAGTGTACACATAAGTTTTTCATCTAATTTTAGAACACATTGCTACTTATTTGGTTGAGCACCAGATAAAAGGCTCAGGCAATGTTAAGGGAAGAACACTGTAATGACCATATGAAGTTTGCATATTATTTAATATCGTCACTTTTTTTTTTTTTTGCCAGAGAATTCAGTTAAGTACATTGCTGACATTTTAGTTGTATTCAAGTTAATGGGTACTAATTGTCACACTCTAGGAAACCAAAAAAAATAAATAAAAAACACCAAACCCATTGCCAGTGAGTCAATTCCGACTCATAGCGACCCTACAGGACAGAGTAGAACTGCCCCATAGGGTTTCCAAGGAGTGGCTGGTGCATTCGAACTGCCAATCTTTTCGTTAGCAGCCATAGCTCTTACACCACTGTGCCACCAGGGCTCCACACACTCTAGGGGGAAAAAAAAAAAAAAACAAAGCCATTACCGCAGAGTTGATTCTGACTCATAGTGACCTCACAGGACAGAGCAGAACTGCCCCACAGGGTTTCCAAGAAGTGGCTGGTAGATTCAAACTGCTGAGCTCTTAACCATTCAGCCACGGGGCTCCACAGTCTAGGAAAGGAGGGTGAAAACTGGCCACTGGATACCATCGTTTTTAAAAACTGACAAGGCAGCCTCCATTTTCTGTTTCATTCACTGTTTTCAAATTTCACCAAGCTTACTACTAAACAAATACTTGCCCCTTCACAGAATGGTTTATAGACTCCCTTTAAATCTCTAAGCTAAAGACATAACTATCTTGTGGCAAAATATTTATCAAAAATATACATATTGCAAATTCTGAACTCCAAAAATGTTGAGAACTTTTTCACCTGCCCTCAAAGTGTCTTAGGTTCATTTCATATTTGTCACTGAAATTTTGAATGTTTTATAAACATATATATCTTTTATATTTTTAAAAACCTGTTTGGTAATAAAAGTTGAATCATGAAACTAAATTTAACAGATATCATACCATTGTACTCTGACAACTGTACCATCTGGAAAAATGCTTTCTTCTTGTCCATCAGCAAATAAGTTTTTAACAGTCTGGTCAGGAAATGTAATTTCTTTTCTTCCATCTGGAAAATGTTTTTCTGTTTAAAAAAGTTTACTATAGTTATTTTTTAAAGGAAGGGAAGAATTTAATAAGGAAAGGGGAAGCAAGTTCTCACCTATTTGTCCACTTGAGAAATGTAAAACTTCTAGTCCTTCTGGGTAAGTAGTATGAGTGGTCTGGGCAGCTGCATAGTAGTAGATCTGTAAAGACAAAACGTCAATGTGCCTTTTCGTGAGAGATTTTTAAGCTACAGTGGAAAAAGCAAACCCTATGAAAACATACCACTCTCTCATCTGGCATGACTTGCTTCACGTCACCATTAAAGAAAGTGACCGTGAGAGTCTTCCCATCTGCACTCACTTCCTTCCGAGTTCCATTCGGAAACAATATAACGTGGCACCCATTCTTAAAAACCTTTTCTACCTGAAAAAAACAAGATTATCAATATGTAAAATTTCCTCCTGAAACCACATGACAAAAATAGCTAATTCTCTTCTAATTGCCTATTTTGAAATTTCTCACAAAAAGCAAAACATTCTTTAAAAAAGGAAAGAATAGTATAATAAACTCCCAACAATCAACTTCAAGTACCAACACATTACCATTCTCATGTCACTTATTTCCCCAAAGCCCAACTCATTTTTTGCGGGAGTTTTTCAAAGCAAATTACAGACATCACTTCACCTGTTAATACTTCAATAGATAACACAAATGGAAGTTTTTTTTTTAACATAACCAAAACCATTACCACACTTAACAAACTAATTTCCTGATCACGTAATGACTATCCATGTTGTTTTCCCCAAATTCTCAACAATACCTTTTTACAGTTGATTTATTTGAACCAGGATCAAAATAAGGTCCATAAACAACACCTGGTTGATATTTCTCTTAGATCTTTATCTTTAACAGTTCTTCCCCCTCCCCCTCCCCCCTTTCTTTAAAATGCCAATTACTTTTGAAGGAACTGGCTCATTGAACCTACAGAATTTCCCACATTCTGATATCCGTCATATTTCCTAAAAAACTACTAGTTAGATCTAGGCTTGATTAAATTCAGGTTGCGTTTTTTTGACAAGACTATTTTATAGGCGCTGCTGTGTGCTTCTCACTGCAACACATTAAGAGGCACAGTCTATGGCTGTCCTATTGTTAATGGGTTTGGGTCATGTCAGTCTGATATTATGAAACCCCCAACAAACTTTCTTCCGATGACTTCAGTAGTCACTGATAACTGTTGCCTAGATCCTTTATTTCATTAGAGGTTTCATCAAACTGGTGATTTTCTAATTCCTTTCCCATTTATTACCTACAATTTTTCTAAAAAAGAAAACCTTTTCTCATCGACTATTTGTTACCCTAAGGAGTTTGTACAGGAAGAGCCTAACTGCTTCCTTTTGACTATTCTCTATCCCACTTTGGCCCTATAATTTCAATTAAAATGAATCAAATTAGCGTGTTTGAAAAAGTAAATTTTCCATGAATCCGAGGAAAAAAATTCTGTCACCAAAAAAGAACAAAATTCTAACTCACAAAAAAAAAAAAAAAAAAGACAGAGACTGGCTGCAGAAGCCCTGAGAGTATGGACCACCCTTACAGCTCAGTAATGAAGTCACTCTGGAGGCTCACCCTTCAGCCAAAGATTAAAGACAGGCCCATAAAACAAAACAAGACTAAATGGACACACCAGCCCAGGGGCATGGACAAGAAGGCAGAAGGGGACAGGAAAGCTGGTAATAGGGAACCCAAGGTCAAGAAGGGGAGAGTGTTGACACGGCGTGGGGTTGGCAACCAATGTCACAAAACCATATGTGTATTAATTGTTTAATGGGAAACTGGTTTGCTCTGTAAACCTTCATCTAAAGTAAAATAAAAAAAAAAATTCTCTCACCACCTCCCATTTAACAAACTCTGTGTATATTACTTTGCCTTTTCATTCTACTCTGCTACCTGGGACACCTAGCCAGGCAGTTTTCCCACTCAAAAACTTTCCTAAGCACAAGAATAAAATTGTAGAGCCTGCAGATAGAAAGAAAGGCATCTGACCTAGGATGAATAAAAGTCTTCAGGAAGGCAAAGTTTAGAACGAATTGAGGCTTATTTAAAGTGAACTGAGGCTTTTATAAAGTGCCCAGGATTACTAAAGGCTTCTTAGCTATCTATGTTTGGAACAAATCCAAAGAGTTAAAACGAAGGAACTGTAGTCCTTCTTTTGCTGCATCTCTAAACTAGAAATGGCAACCAAGTCCAAGTTGTGCGCTGAGTATTTTTAGAGGAGTCCAAGGTTCAAGCCTAGGTCATACCCCAAGGTACTTCAAGAACATGAAGTTCTTAACCATCATCAACAGTCTTCATTATTTTAGGATCTAAGTGTTTCAACTTAATTATAACCCACACTTATTTTTTAATAGCACCCATTATAAAAAAACTTTTTAACCTTTCCATCCGGATGACTGATTTCTCCCTGAATTTCCTCTTCTTCCTCTTCTTCATATTCAGGATCTGGGAGTCTCATCAGTTCAAATGGCTCCCTGGGCGAGCTGGCCTATAAGGATAAGACTTCTCTCACTATCCTAACAGACAACTCAAATTTTAACATCATAGGATTCTGTGACTAGTGTTTGGTGTTAACTATACATGATTTAGAAATTTAAGTCAAGTGGACTAAGTAATCAATTTCAAACCTGATTAATCTATCTTTTAATATATAAAAATATAAAGAGATTTACTTGTCCTTTATCCGAACTGCCTAAATCACGAGGAAATATAGACTTCAGTCTTCGAGATGGACTGCCTGTTAGAATATAATTTTCAAAGTTAGTTTTAATATTTAAATCAAAAATTTTTATTTACTAATATGATCAAACATTTCCTTCTTTTGTGAACTGCTGCAGTTTACCCATTATTTAAGGAAGTCAGTATTTTTCTATACTAATTTGTAGGAGTTCTTCATTATATAAATTCAAATGTTTATTCAGGCACTTCTTTTAAGGCTCAGAGTGACCAAGAAAGATAAAGACAGTATCTGTTCTCAAAGGGTTTACAATCTGGAGAAAGAGATAGGTCCTCAAGTAACCTAACAGATGGATCCGAAGGTATTTTGGAGACCACAAGGACCTAGCAAGTGTGGGTGTGGGAGTAAAGATAAAAAAGGCATCCAAGCATACATATAGGATTTGGCTTGACCAAATAACTGAATATTTAATTAAAATATAAGTTTCCTAATGGCTGTGGTCTAAACCTTTTAGATCATGACCAGCACACCAAACATGGCATGCATCATATTAATAATACATACATTATAAAATAAATACACAGGTACAAAAAATGAGATGGATTTTTAAAAATATATTAAAGTTCTAATACTTTCTGTATGCTAATGGGTCACATTGTAAACATTCCCAATTTTGCAGGCCGTGATAAGAAGTACGATTTATAAGTTCAAGGGGAAACTACTAAAGGGTTTCAAGTTAGTGCCAGGATTTGTAAGGATGTGTAAGTAGTTAAAAAATGTAATTGATGCTACAAGAGAATGGACTGGAGAAGAAGCAGAAAAGAGGCAGAAAGTCCATTTAGGTGGTTATTAGACATAAAAGATGGCTTGGGTGGAAACAAATATTTAGATTACACCTAAGAAACTGCTGATTTATAGGTCCAAAACTGTCAAGCATCAGCAATTTCTTATGATTCAACCTAATGGATTCAGAAGTTATTCAAATTAGGATTAGTTTAGGGATTGATGGGAGTGGAGGTAAGGATAAAAGAGGAAAGGAATCAAGGAATACACAAAGGTTCTGGCTTGAGCAAACGAGTGGATGGAAGACAAGGTTTTGGGGCTAACACAAGTTTTCTGTTTTGGATATGATACAGGGAGAACAATATCTACTACCTCAAAGGGCAAGTGTGCAAAGTACTTTGTAAACTATATACTACAATTTCAGTTCTGCATTACTTACGTCAGCAACCAGCATTCTGAGAAAGAGATTAAGGAAACTATTCCACTTACGATACCATCTAAAGAAATAAAGTAACTAGGAATAAATTTAACCAAGGAAGTGACATACTTGTACAATGAAAACTGTAAAACATTACTGAAAGAGGTTAAAGAAGACCTAAATAAATGAAAGGACATTCCATGTCCACTGATTAAAAGACTTAATATAGTTAAGATGTCTATACTACCCAAAGCATTCTATAGATTCAACATAATCCCTATCAAAATTCTTACAGCCTTCTTTGCAGAAAAGGAAAAACCAATTCTCAAATTTATGTGGAACTGCAAGGAGCGCCAAATAACCAAAGCAATCTTGAAAAAGAAAAATAGAGTAGGAGGACTCATATTTTTCAATCTCAACAGTACACTACTGGTATAATGACAGACATATAGACCAATGGAACAGAATTGACAGTCCAGAAATAAACTTCTACATCTATGTTCCACTGATTTTCAACAAGGGTGCTAAATCCACTCAACAGGGGAAAGAATAGTTTCTTTAATAAATGGTGCTGGGACAACTGGATTGCCATACGCAAAAGAATGAAACTAGACCCAAACATCACACCATATATGAAAATTAACTTCAAATGGACCAAAGACCTAAATGTAAAAACTAAAACCACAGAACTCTTAAAAAGAAACATAGAGGTAATGCTTTGGGAACTAGTTTTTAACAATGAATTTTTACATATGACTCCAAAAGCATAAATAACAAAACATAAAACAGATAAATGAGACTTCATCAAAATTAAAAACTTTTGTTCATCAAAGGACTTTTGTCAACAAGGTGAAGGGACAACCTAGAGATTGAGAGAAAACTTTCGGGAACCATATATCTGATGCAGCCCTGGTGGCGCAATGGTTAAGGGCTCGGCTGCTAACCAAAAGGCTGGCACTTCAAATTCACCAGCTGCTCCTTGGGAACTATACGGGGCAGTTCTACTCTGTCCTATAGGGTCGCTATGAGTCGGAATCGACTCAACAACAATGGATTATATATCTGATAAAGGTTTAATATCCAGAATATATAAAGAACTATACTTAACAAAAAGACAACCCAATCAAAAAATGGCCAAAGGACTTGAAAAGACATTTCACAAAACAAGACAGACAAATGGCCAACAAGCACACAAAAAGATGCTCGGTGTCACTAAAACCAAAAAACCCGTTGCCATCAAGTCAATTCTGACTCATAGCATCCCTACAGGACATTGTAGAACTGCCCCATAGGGTTTCCAAGGAGCGGCTGGTGGATTCAAACTGCTGACCTTTTGGTTAGCAGCCAAGCTCTTAACCACTGAGCCACCAGAGCTCCCAATGTCACTAGGGAAATGTAAATCAAAACCACAATGAGGTATCACTTCACACCCACTAAGATGGCTATGATTAACAAACTGAAAATAACAATGTGTTTCTGTGAGGATATGGAGTAACCCGGAACCGTCGTCCAATGCTAATGGAACTGTAAAGTGACACAGCCACTGTGGAAAACAGTTTGGCAGTTCCTCAAAAATTAAACAGAATTACCATATAATACAGCAATTCCACTCCTAGGTATATACTAAAAAGACTGCAAAGCAGGAACACAAACATACTTGTTTACCAATGTTCACTGCAGCATTTTTTCACAGTAGCCAAAAGGTGGGAACAACCTAAATGTCCATCAACAGATGAATGGATGAAGAAAATGTAGTATATACATATAATGGAATATACTCAGCCATAAAGAAAAATGAAGCCCAGATACATGCTATATATGGATGAACCTTGAAAATATTATGCTGAGTGAAATAAGTCAGTCACAAAAGGACAAATACTGTGAACCCATTTGCATGAAATATCTAGATTAGGCAAATGTATAGAAGCCAAAGTTTATTAGTGGTTACCAGGAGCGAGAGGGAGGGGGCATTGCTTAGGTGACACTGAGGTTCTGTTCAGGGTAAAGGAAAAATTTGGAAACAGTGGTGATGATTGCACAACATGATGAACATAATTAATGTCAATGAATTGTACATGTAAAAAATGTTGAAATGGCAAATATTTTGTTATATATGTTTACCACACACACACACACACACACACACACACACACACACACACACGAAGTAGTACCACCCTCAAGCACAAAACTGAAATTCAACTACATTAAAATGACAATTTTCGTTCATAAAAGGTTAACAAAGAGTAAAAGGACAAGCCTTAGAATTAGGAGAAGATATTTGCAAACTAACTGTTGAAGGACTATTGTGGTGGTAAGGAATCCTCCCACAAATAAAGAAGACAGACAATAGAAGAACAGGCAAAAGACAATAGAATAAAGGGCAAAAGACCTGAACAGGCTCTTTTCAAAAGAGGAAATATAAATAGCTAATAAACATAGGCAAAGGCGTTCAACATATTAACTAATCAAGGAAATGCAAATTACAACTACAATGAGATATCGTTACACCCCTATCAGAGTAGCAACATTTTAAGTCTAACAATACCAAGTACTGTCAAAGTGTGGAGCAAAACAAACACTAACATGGCTGGTGAGAGAGTAAAATCATTATGGAGAATATTTTGGCAACATTATTAAAGATAACTCATATGAATTACCCAGTAATTCCACTCCTAAGTATACGCTCTACAGAAATGAATGTGTATACACCAAAATGTAAAAGAATGCCCACAGCATTCATTCTTTAACATCCAAAAACTTTTTTAAAAGTTCAACTATCTCAACCGAAAATTATATTCATAAATGGAATACTACTTTGCAGTAAAAATTAATGAATTAGGACTGCACTCATCAACATAATTAAATCTCAAAAACAATTTTTAGTGAAAGAAGACAGAAGAATATATATAGCATAAGTCTGTTCATAAAGCTCAAAAACAAGTAAAACTAATATATATTTTTAGGGATGCATCTATGTGAGTTTAAACTATATAAAGAAAAGCAATGTAATATGATCAAAGAGGAGCACATAGAGGGGGGGTAGTTCTATTCTATAGTGCTGGTAATGTGTTATCCTTACCTATTAAGTGGCTACACAAGTAGTTTCTTTATAATTGTTTGTCAAACTGCACGTTCTATCCACTTCTCTAAATTTATTTCACAGAAATAGTTTTTTTTTTTAATTCCAAGCAGATTAAAGACCCAGAAGTAAAAACAAAAGTTCATCGAAGAAAATAGTATATGATTAACAAGGATTTCGTAAGGTCATGAAAAGCAAAAACTATAAAGGAGAAGACTGATAAATCCAATACAAGGAAAAACATGTACATAAAAAATACAAACTGAAAAATTAAACCTAGATTGGGAGAAAATATTGGCAGTGCTCATAACTGACAAAGGATTAGTATGCAGAATAAATAATTAACTTCAAGAAACACATACATACCAAAATTTTAAATGGGCAAAAGATAGGTACGGGCAAGTCACAAAAAGATGTTCACATAACCTCACCAGTAATCAGGAAAATGCATATTAAAACTACATTGACTCACCATTTCACACCCATCTGATTGGCCAAATTTTTTAAGCCTGATCATATCAAGTGTTGGTAAGTACGAAGAGCATATTAATATGCTGATAGTAATAACTGGTAGAACTACTTTGCAGAACAAAGGCAAAACCTCCAAAGCAAAGTTGCCCAGGCCTGATGTGACCCAGCATCCTACTCTAAATACGTATCCCAGAGAAACTCACGTGATCAAAGACGTGTTCTGCAAGATTTATTCATTATCATGAAAACCTGGGAAAAATCTGAATGTCTATCAGCAGGAAAACTTAACTACAACAAATATACAATGGAATCTGTATAGCTATTAAAATGAATAAACCAGATTTTACATGGATTAATGTGGGTAAGTCTTAAAACATTGAAAGAAAAAAGCAAATTGCAGAATGATAACCTAGAGTATGAAACAACACTATATTGATTAATGGACATAATGTAGTAAAAGAATAAAAAACACGGAATGCTATCAGGGTAGAAATTAACTGGGGGGGAGTAAGACACACAGGGGCCTCATTCATATTTACAATGGTTTTTTCCTAAAATTGGGTATAAATATTCTTTATATTACTGATACATTTCATTAGAAAGATAATAAACAACCTCCTACCTTGGGCTGGCAAATAATTTTTCTTATATTTTTCTACCTGGGTTCCTGAAGAAATCTGCCTTCTTTGAAAGCAAACTGATGGGTTCTGTAGTATGAGAGATAATTTTGAATATAAGTGTTACTCTACATATTAGTACAATGAATGAAACAGAAGTCAACAAACAATAAGATTGTTTTAAATTTGATCATTCATGTTGTTTTCAGGTGCCATTATTAAATACCCACCAAAAGGTCTAATCTTAATATAGGCCAAAGTGAAAAAGTTAAATTTTTTTAGAAATTAAATGTTCCTTTTGAAATCTAATCATTCTTCATGTTAGGACGTAACATGTAACATAAAACTAAACAGTGTCCTATTGCTGATATTGCTATAATAATATTCTATTAGGTCCTGTGCCTCTACTCTATTCCCTTGTTCTCAACAGAACTCATGGTCAAACATCAGCAAAATCTCCTTTGTCTTCAACCTATTGTGTGAACATTTCTCCTTCAAGTTCTTGCTCTAACAGAGTCTTCATAAACCCTAGGTCTCCCCTCATAACACTGGTTACCACTGTATTCCTCTCAAGTGATAGAAGTTTTCTCTCCCACAGAGCTCAAACCACTAAGACAAAGGTAGGGTAGATGTCCTTCTTGCGCCACATCATCACTTCCAGCCCAATCACTTTCCCTCCTCCCTAAATCCACTGCCTCAGCTTTCAATCTCATGTCCTCATACTCATCTTTACCCCTCCCTCATTGCTGCAGTCATCACTCCCGCTCATCCCTTGCAGATGTTTAGATCCTAGCTTACTGTCATCTTCTCCCTACTCTATTATTATTTTTGCTAGTAAACGATACTTTCAAGACGTTAGCTTCTCATTTTCTTGGCCTACTCTCCTCAGAGATTTTGTTCTTTATCCTACCTCAGCTATACAATCCAATGGACAATCTTTAGAATTTGTCATTATCAATAACTGCTGCTGCTGTTGTTGTTAAGGTACTGTCGAGTCAGTTCCAACTCATACAGACCCGCCCGGTGTACCTGGTCCTGTGCCATCCTCACAGTGGTTGCTATTTGAGCCCACTACTGCAGATACTGTGATCAGACCATGTTCCACGGCTACTCATAAGGTTTTCACTGGCCAGTTTTTTAAGAAATAGATCACCAGGTCCTTCTTCCCAGTCTTAGTCTGGAAGCTCCACTGAAATCTGTCCACCATGGGCGACCCTGCTGGTATTTGAAATACTGGTGGCATAGCTTCCAGCATCACAGTAACACACAAAGCCACCACAGTACGACTAACTGACAGATGAGTAGTGGTCAATAACTGCAATGCCACGAAAACCTCAGTTTTAGGTGTGGCCAAGATGGTGGAGTAGTTAAACGCTTCCTATATCCCTCTTACAACAAAAACCTGGAAAAACAAGTGATTTGATTCTATATGAATATCTAGGAGCCCTGAACAAGGCAAAGTTGAGGAATCCGACTGAGTGACAGGGGAGAGGGAGACGGTTTGGAAGAAGCGAAGAGCACCAGAGCCGTGGCGGCGAAACTGCAGCTCTGCAGCCACACCAGTTCGCAGTGAAGCAGGCAAACAGCTGTGCTGTGTGTGCTCTTGGGAAGCAGTTTCCACATTGAGAGAGACCCGGCAGCAGAGATTCTGCTTGGACGCTCCAAACCGTGAAAAGCAGCTCCCAAGTGGCTAAGATTAAGTACCATGCGTTTGGCCTTTCACTGGGATGAAAAAACAAAGCCCATTTGGGAAAAACCTCTCTCCCTTTTACCTCCTCCCTCTGCGCTCTTTAACGGGAGTCCGCTGGGCCAGAAGTAGATCCCAAAAGGCGCCCTGACCCATTCTCCTGGCCTTGGAGAGGGAACAAATAAGCTAGTGGCTCCCCTAAGCCAGGAACACAGGGTCGGCACAGCTCCTTTGCTAGGGAGAGGTATAAGGGGTCTGCAGACTCTGAGTGCCTTATACCCCTGTATAGACTTGTGGGGACCCATCTCAACAGTGTCAGCCCTCATTACCACGGTACAACACAGCAAACATCTGAAGTTTAACTTCAACTGCTTCAGCTGTGAACTGGCAGATTTGTGACCCTCAAAACAGCCCTGCCCCTTAAGTAGGTACTTTTATCGATCCGCAGCAGGGGACTGAGGACTGGTGGTATCACCTAAAGCTCCTGGTCACCTGCTACAGGAGTCCAAGAAAAAGTGGTGCCCTCGAGGCTTTACAACCAACAGAGTGGGGTGTTCACAGTCCAGCTGCAAAACTCACCTACCTACTCACCCTAGAGAATAGGGACACGCTTTCCTTTCAGACTCTCAGGGGCAGCCGTCAGCCCCCTGCCTGGCTCAGCACGTGATCCCCTACCACAGCCAGAGTCCATCGCCTGCGCCAATCACCCATGCCTCTCTAGGAATGGGGTTGAGAGCCTGCATCACACACTTGGCGACCAACTCCCTGGACACCCAAGCTGAACCCATATAGGAAAATTTTAATGGACTCCTGTGTGCACATACTTAGTTACAGAACTAACTGCCTGATGACAGGATGTTAGCGATTCAAAGCTGTCAAAAATCAAACTAGTGCAGACGAGCAGCCTATTTGGGCATATCAAAACAAAACAAAACAAGAAGCTAGGTCTTACTAAACAAATATAAAATAAAATTATAATAAATTATTGCTGGCTTGGAGACAACAGTCAATACCAAGTCACAAAAAGAGGCAGTCCATGATGGCTTCAGCAAGCTCCTGAAATAAAGAATCAATAAATTCTCCGGAGGAAGAGAACTTCCTGGAATTAGCAGAGGCAGAATACAAAAGATGAATATACAGAACTCTTCTGGAAATTAGAAAGGAAATTCGACATAATGCAGAAACAGCCAATGAACATACAGACAAAGTAGTAGCGGAACTTAAAAAAAGTATTCAAGAACATAATGACAAATTTAATAGGCTGCAAGTATCCACAAAGAGACAGCAATCAGAAATCCAGAAGATTAACAATAAAATTTCAGAATTAGACAACTCAATAGAAAGTCACTGGAGCAGAATTGAGGTAGAAGAAGTTAGAATTAGTGATAATGAAGATAAAGCTCTTGACGCCAACTTATTTGACGAAAAATCAGATAAAAGAATTAAAAAGAATGAAGCAACTCTAAAAGTCATGTGCGACTCTATCAAGAGAAATCACTTACGAACGATTGCAGTACCAGAACAGGGGGGGATAAGAGAAAATTGTTGAAGATTTGTTGACAGAAAACGTCCCTGATATCATGAAAGATGAGAATATATCTATCCAAGATGCTCATCAAACCCCACATAAGGTAGATCCCAAAAGAAAGTCACCAACACATACTATAATCAAACTTACCAAAACCAAAGATAAAGAGAGAATTTTAAGAGCGGCTAGGGATAAAAGAAAAGTCATCTACAAAGGAGAGTCAATCAGAATAAGCTCGGACTACTCAGCAGAAACCATGGAGGCTAGAAGGCAATGGGATAACATATATAAAGCCTTGAAGGAAAATAACTGCCAGCTAAGAATTATACACCCAGCAAAACTGTCTCTCCAATATGATGGTGAAATTAGGGCATTTCCAGATAAACAGAAATTCAGGGAATCTGCAAAAACCAAACCAAAATTACCAGAAATATTAAAGGCAGTCCTATGGTTAGATAATCAATAACACCAAATAACAACCCAAGACTAGAACACAGGACAGAGCAACCAGATATTGACTCAGATACAGATATCGAAAATACATCAAAGCTAAAAAATTGAAAATAGGGAAACAGATATCAAAACGTAAAAAAGGACAACATTAAAACCAAAAAGAGGGACTTAAAAAATGCAGACATTGATTTTTCATATGCAGGGGAAGTTAAAGTGATATAAAGTAATAAAAGACTGGCATAAACTTAGAAAAAAAGGGGTAAATATTAAGGTAACCACAAAAGAATCTAACAATCCTACAAATCAAAATAAAAAAGGAGAAAAACATAAAGACCCAGCAAACACAAAATCTACAACAAAGAAAAACATGAAAAAAAATACATAAAGAAAAATGACTCAGCACAGAAAATTGAGGAGAACAAAGAAACTGTGAACAATACACAAAAAGAGATATCAGGATGACAGCACTAAACTCATACCTATCAATAATTATGCTGAATGTTAACAGACTTAATGCACCAATAAAGAGACGCAGACTGGCAGACTGGATAAAAAACCATGATCCATCTCTATGCTGCCTACAAGAGAGGCACCTTAGACTTAAAGACACAAACAACCTAAAACTCAAAGGATGGGAAAAAATATATCAAGCAAACAACACTCCAAAAGAGCAGGAGTGGCAATATTAATCCCTGACAAAATAGACTTTAAAGTAAAATCCACCACAAAGGATAAGGAAAGACACTATATAATGATGAAAGGGTCAATACACCAGGAGGACATAACTATAATAAATATTTACACACCCAACAACAGGGCTCCAAAATACCTAAAACAAACTCTAACAGCTCTGAAGAGGGAGATAGACAGCTCCACCATAGTAGTAGGAGACTTCAACATGCCACTTTCGGTGAAGGACAGAACATCCAGAAAGAAGCTCAACAAAGACACAGAAGAGCTAAATGCTACAATCAACCAACTTGATCTCATAGACATGTACC